CGATGGCCTCCAACCTACTAGCGATGGCCTCCAGCGTCCAACCTACTAGCGATGGCCTCCAACCCACTAGCGATGGCCTCCAACCTACTAGCGATGGCCTCCAGCCTACTAGCGATGGCCTCCAACCTACCAGCGATAGCGATGGCCTCCAACCTACTAGCGATGGCCTCCAACCTACTAGCGATGGCCTCCACCCAATGCCCATGGCCGGCTGACCAGGACTTGTCTCTTTTGAAAGACATGAACACATTATAACACATCCACGTTATGTGTCGCACTGTCCACGCAGTCTCCACGCAGTCATGCGTTCAGTCTACAAAACTCAGATTCAGGTGCACAAGCAAAACACCGAAACGTCATCACCCCGTTGTCAGCGTCCGCTGGACGCACATGGTAGTCTTGTTCCAGCCACCTTCGTCTCAGGTAGCTGCTTCAAGTCCTCCACACCAGGAAGTGATTGGATGCATAAGGCCACAAAGAGATTGTGAGGAGGGTGTGAGGCAGAAAGTGGATCCTCAAAGATTTGAACTACACAGTACTACAAAGGTGCCTTTGGCATAAGAGCCAAAGCTTCACTTTGCGCACCTTCGCTGGAGAAGCCATCTCCACCTCCTCCACGCTCTCATAGTAGAGTTTCACCTTCTGACGCAACTTCTTGAGCAAGGCCTGCGTCTGCCTGGCAGGGACTTTGACAAGATCTCAGCAAGGGAGTTCAGCCTCTTCAGCTGACCCAGCCGTCGCTTTCTTGTCGCGAAGCCCCTTCTCGTTGCACCCTGAAACCCTCCACCAATCCAAATTGGGCCTCCCCCCCACCTTTCCATCCGACCAACAACCGCGCCTGGCATCATCCCGCTTTCGGGCAGCCTCCCGAGCCCGGTTCGTGGCCTCTTCTTCCTGGGCTTCGGCCACGGTGGCCGCGGAGACCGCCACGTTGAGCTGCGCCTGCATGGCTTGCAGCTCCTGTGGGGAGATCGCGGCGAAGCCCAACAGGGCAAGCGGAACCCAGGGGTGTGATTGCCAGACGGTTGACGATTGGAGATTGAAGCTTTCTGGTCACTGGCCAAAGTATTGACATGCTCAACCAACATGTCCGGCACAAATTAAAATGATCCAGATTCTCTAGCCTCGATCAGGAACAACATGCAACAATAGTGGTTAGTACAGGCAAGCAGCTAGCAACAAGCGGCTAATACATCTGAAGTCCATCTCAAATCCCTCCTTCTTCGCAGTCTGCATAGCTTCCTCCACCTTTGCCTGCTCCTGAGCCCAGCAAACTGCTCAACAACGGCCCAAGCACGCTTAGAAATTCACAGGCAACCACCTAGGGTTGACCATTATCCCTTTGAATTGCATCTACAATCATCTATAATTATATATATATATGGTATATATAGTATACAGTATCTACACCATATTATGTATATATATATATATTGGGAAGACTGTTCCCCTCGAAGACCCCTAGTGAAATTGAAAATTGCCGCTTTTGGACTGTGAGTTTTTGATGTCCTTTAAGTTGCCAAGTCTGACGCGCCCCTGGACGCACCCCGCGGATGCACCCCCGGTCACTACATGCCGCATCATGCCGCACCCTTTGCCATAGTTTTTGTTCTTTCATGTTGCCAAATCTGACACGGCCCTGGACGCAGCCTACCTGCCGCACCCTTTGTCATGGTTTTCAAGGTTGACTTAAAGGGCTAGTTTGGACGCACCGCTGCACGCACACCTGGCCGCATACCCCGCAAGGGTTCCGAGAGGTTCAGGGTCACATTTGACCAAGAAAATAGGTCACAGGATGTCACAGGTCTTCGAGGGCAAGCGCCCTAGCCAAATTATAGGTGTCGATTCGTTTGATGTGTTTTTGCACAAGAAAATATGTGACCCAACCTATCGCTTCTCATCTCATCTCCCAGCCTTGCCAAGCTCTTGACCTCGAAGGACCCACAAGGCTCCCACACGGCCGAATCCCACCCCTCCCAAATCCATCAAGCCAACATCTGCATGCACATCGGTGCATGCATCGTGCACCCTTGCCCAGCCCCGCGAAGCACCCGCATCCGTTGCATGCATGCATTTCGGCGTCTCCTGCTCGGCGCCTTCCTTCAACTGCCCGGCCGACAAGGCCTGGCTCTTCAGTGTCTGCATCTCCACCTCAGCGGCCTCGCGAGTCGTCCGCAAGGCGTCCAACTCGGCCCGCAGCGCGGCAATTTGACCTGAGAACACGACCGGGTGACGGGAGAACCAAGAGCTGGCGGAACGGTGACAGGTTGAGGTCCTGAATTCTCAATCATGAAGAAAAGCGTAGTAGAGCATGCGTTTGCACCAATTCGCTCTGAGCTACATGATCATACTGAGGGGAAGCACTGACTTGCCCTGACATATCCTTTGGAAAATCCAAAACGCCTGTATATATATATATATAGCTTCAAGGCAGAAGACATCTTTCCTCAAACCGCTGGAAAGATGGATGTTACATGTTCAAGAACAAGACAAGGCGACTCTGGAGAGTCCCATGTCTTTCCTTGAGAACTGCCGTTTCATGGGAAGGTGTCTTTGGCGGATTTCCAAGCTTCAAGGCTCCAAGGAGAAGCACTCTATATCGGGTCATTTAGTCATCTGGGTAAGTCATTGCACAAGACACCACCCCAGAGGCGGAAGCCGTTTAGCCGGGCTCTTGGAAAAAACGTTGCAGTGCTTTTTCTGATCTCTTTGTGGCCGCCCTGGCCGTTGGACCGGGGCGCGTTTCAGCGTCTTGACGATCTGTCTCAGAGCTTGCTCCTTGAGCAAGACTTTCCGTGCCACGGACTCCATCTCATCACTGAGGTCTTTGAACTTCTCCTCGGCAACCCGGGTTGATGAAAGCCCATAGTTCCGAAGACACGCCCCATGCCGGACACCAAGGCCAGAAATCCCGGAAACAGCTCCGGAGACCGAAGAAACTCTCGAGGTCTATACACAACTGTCCTGAGTCCTGACCTCCAAACAACATGTCCCAAAACAACTGGAAAAGTGCCCACCCTTACCATCACCCCATGCCAGACTGCTCAACCCAGAAGAGACACCCGAAAAATCCCAAAAAAGAAGGAAGAAAGAAACACGCTGTTTGCTTCAGGCGGCAATGGACTTCGCGTGCTCCTGGCCCTTCTCCGTGTGTTCCGTTTGTGCCTTCTCCACACGGAGCATCAGCTCACGGCTCTTGGACGCCTTTGCTTCCAGCGCGTGGGTCTTCTTTTGCAGCTCCTGAAGAACGAAGGCTGGCTGAGGCAGGGCACTGCTTGAGCGCTGCTTGAGCACTGGTGGACACGGATATATAGGAAAGGACAGAGGAAAGAACATAAGTAGCGGGTAGTGGTCATGTGAGAAACTCCAAAAATGTGCTCTGCTCGTTTTGTGTGACTCGGGTAGCTGTGTCAAACACTTTGCAAACTCTTCGCATCATCCTTCTCCCAATAGACCCGATTTTGGATCCCAACGCCAGGTTCTCGAGCCCGTTCACAGTGTTTTGCAAACGACGGGAGCCTTTGAATGGGATTCTTTTTGGACTTGGTGTCTCCTGCATCACCTTTACCTTCTCATCGATCTTCTTTTTTGAGGCTTCCTTCTTTTGCTCGGCCGCTGCGTTGGCATCCTGGAGGAGAAAGCGCCAGGATGAAGAATTGGTAGAAAAGAACCGTGCTTCCCACAGGAAATTACAAGTATTCGGCATCCACAAAAGGCGATTGAAAACCCGAAACAAGTGGCATCTCGACCACCCCCTCGACTCCCGGCCCTTCCAGAGCCTCCAACATCTTCACATGGTCGGAGACCTCTGCATTCGCACTCCTGGCCGTGGCGCCAAGCCCCGGCTGCTTCAGGTCCAGTGCAAGAGACCCCTGAGACACAGTGCAGAATTCCCAACAGCAAAGTGTTTACTGAACCTTTGTTACTAGTAGCTTCTTGCTCCTAGTAGTAATGCACTTGCTCCTAGTAACGATGCACTTGCTACTAGTAGCTTCTTGCGAAAGATATGTTGCCATGCACAAGAACCATCTATATAGAACATTCTAGAACCATCTTCACTATATGGTTCCCCGGGTTCCCGCTCCTGGAAGAGGCTACACGGCTACATAGAGACATTGAAAGAAAATTATTCCCAACACGCTCTTTGTCCAGAGTTGTGGCTAGGAATGCTGCACGAAAGTGCAATGATGTTTAGCTTCAGCCTACAATCCAAAAGCTTGCAGCTGCATCCTACTGCCCGCTCCTCAACTCCGTCAGGATCACTGCAGGAACTCTACTCTCGACTTCATCCACAGTCCGAAGCGCGCCCAGAAGATCAACAACACCCAGAATCAACAGCGCCTGAGGATGGAAGAATTGCCAGCGATGAGTCAGATTGTTGATAGAAACGAAATCTGATACATTGATACATGTTGAAAGGGATTCGTCTCTGATTTGTCACGGTTCTGTCGTTCTAGCATGCTCGATCTATTTTGTATCACCATACACAGTTGCTAGAGTGCATTTCGGTAGATCTACATAATAAAGAAACACCATAGAGCACTGTAGCATACTGCAGCACTATCCCCTGGTCAGGAAGTGCACTTGGCTTCGTCTGTCTTGCCAGGTAGCCTGGAGCATGAACGCCATCCAAAAATGCACCTTTTCGCGGTGTTTCTTGTAGAATCGTAGAATTCTCAAACAACTGTGCCGTTTGATCCAACACAGCTGCAAGGGACCCGTTCGGCCTGAGACACGTGCGAACAGGGATGGGAGTGTGACCCAGCAAGGTCGCCCGATCGGTCCCACATGGAGCGACCGACCACCAAGTAGGTCAACCGGTCGGACGAATCAAAATCCACATCCTTTTGATGGCTCATAGTCACGTGATAGCTGCTATTTGTTCATCACCATGTGGTTGCAGTATCACACAAGGTACATGTGTTCGGCGTGGTTTTTTTGCGTTGTGGAGCCTGGCCTTCGAAGCCAGCGCCAAACTGACGAACAACAGCTGAGACACCTGCTGCTCCTGGTCAGATGCCAAGACTCCACGAGCTCAGTACATGCACGAGCTCAGCTAGTTCAAGGGCTAAATGATATCGTGTCATGTGGCCAACAATCGTTCAGTACAAACGCCGCTATTAGGAGCAAGGACGCTACTAGGGGCTCCTGGCCATAATAGTAGGAGCAAGAAGCTACTAGGACCAAAGGGCATCGCTACTAGGAGCAAGGACGCTATTTAGGGGCTCCTGGCATCGCTAGGAGCAAGAAGCACCCAAATCAGTGAGCTAAATCTTACATCGTTGTCAACTCTCACGTATCTCCCCACAGTCACAGCAGGATTCGCGGTCCGTCAGGAACGGTCTCAAGGGCTCCAAAAAGGAGAAGAGTACCGTCCACATCACCTGCAAACAGAGCAATTGTCAATGTCCACACTGCCAACACATCCGCTTCACCAACATGGCGCTTGGTGTCCGCATCTCCCCTGCAAACGTGGGCGACTTTTGCCCGACTCCCAACACTGCTTCGAGGGGCTGAAGCGGCGCCAAACGCGTCCTCTTCCCCCCTCCAGCCTCCCGCGACTCGGGAGTGGGACTCAGAAGAAGATCCGAGTTATGCATGGCCTCGGCGCCGGCGCCAAGCTTACGTTCACCGTTTCGGCGTTGGAAGTAAGTGGACTCGTTTCGGCGGAGCTGCAAAGACTCCTGCAAAAAAAAACAAAAAAAAGTCGACTAAAACCTCCTAAAGCTTGTGTGCATCCCATTCCCTGTAACAGTGGATGATGATGAAAAAATAGTGATAATCTTGTATTGACTGTTACAGGTCATGGGACAAACCCAACATAAAACCAATTGGTTGACAGCTGTCCAGCGAACTCCTCCCAAACCTGCACCATCTTTTACAGTGGGTGTTGGGGAAGTGGGAAAGCTGCCATGATATGAATGAGTTGCATGACCAAAAGAGGCCAACTGCATCAAATTGCGTTATCCCTCGAGTTGGCCGCATCCAAATATCTGCTAGGATTACGACTTAATGGCAGAGATCAAAACCAATGCATCAAGACCCATTGATTGGGGTGATGCTGAGCTAGATTGCCACTGTCACTGGGCAGTTGTGCACCAATCCTGCTACCACGCATAATTCCGCATGATGACTCATGATGACTTTTCAACGCTGACCCGGCTCAGTCTTCGCTGAGGTCATTTGGCTTGCCGTGGTGGTGTGGTGACCACAACAAGTGCATGTCCGCAAGGCAACAACTTGAATGCAATGTCTTTGTTTCGTGGTCGATCGCTCCAAGCCGGCGGCCTGCGGGGTCCATCTATACTCAGCCGGCAGCGGCAGAGCAGCAGAGCAGTGCAGTCTGCTCCAAACCCCCACCCCGCAGGTCCCCATTGTTCCACTGTCGCACCTCGATCAGCTCCGGGATCACCGGCTCCAGCTGCCCCATGCGAACACTTGGGTCCTGTACAGTGAGGCGCAACGAACATATCGAAGGCAGGGCGGATCGATCACGCCAAGGGCGCAGGACCCAAGACCACGCAAAGCCCACCGAAAGGAAGAACAGAACAAACGACCAGAGACGACCGCGTTGACTACGAGATACATGGTCAACCTATCAGACTCTGGCGTTTGGGGTGGGATTCTTCCTTTTGACCCGCGGTGGTCGTTCGTGCCAGTCACGGTGGTCGGGTTCATTCACCCATCTTCACCCCAATCCATCAATGGCAACTTGGAACTGAGAGCAACTGAGATCGGGTTCAGTCAGCACAGGAGGCCTCAAGAACCAAACCAAGATCTCTTCTGATATCTTCTGCACAGAGCTTTAGCAGTGCCTTCGCCACCGGTCCACAGAGTCTTCAGACCACATAGCTCCCTCCCGCCCCTGCCCGCTCAGCTCCATCCGGTCCGGCGGGCAGATGCTCTGCAGGACCGCCACGTGGCCCTCCAAGCACATGGCCAGGATGCGCATGCTGGCGACCCGCTGATCCAACTCCTGCCAGGCGAAACATGAAAAACATGGCAGGCGTCCTCGGCAAATATCTCCAGGAGTATAGTAAAGGGATCTGTAGGCTAGTTTCTGGTAGACTTATGCTCGACAGTCGTCGTTCTCATGGCCCTTGACACCGGCGGGCTGTCCCACACTCCCCTCTGCGGCGGGCCTGGAAACCACAACAACGGAAAGATCGTTGAGTTCGTGGCCTAATGCCACCTACAAGTACTCCTTGAGTTCGTGGCTTCATGATGTTGGATGTCTGATGTCTGGAACCTAGAGCTGCTTCCAACAAACTGCCCAATGTCAGCAATCAAGGCTCCAGGGCACAATCAGCATCCAAGGCAGGTCTGAGCTGCGCCCACAGCGCTGCCGGTTCCAAGAAGGCACCCAGCAACTTGCAAACGGCTCCATAGGTCTGCATGGCCCTGGGCACAGTGTCATCTTCGTCTTTGGGATGAGTCTTTGGAAATGTCAACCACCTCAACAAAGGAGGGCAATTGCCAGGCCCCCATACATCCCTGACACTTGAGAATAAACACACATCAAGATCGATACGCCATGTGCCTGGTGTCGCCCGCAGCCCATGCGCGGCCCGAGTAGAACTTCGTAAGGGCTTGCAGCATAGGTTGAAGCCACTCCGTGACCCCTGAGAATCGCTCGGTGGATTCAAACGGGCGCGCAACGCACATTTCTGAGAATCTCTCTTCTTCAAAGGAACTAACTAACTCTAACTCTCTCTCTCTCTCTCTGAGGCCAACCATTTTGATCTGCAAAATTCTCTTGCTCCCTCCTGAGCTGCCCTCTTTCCCTGCCTTCCTCCGTGTAGGCCACAGACATGCACAGCAAACGGCCCGCGTTCAGCGCCGTGCAGTCCCTGAAGTCGACCACATCGTTGAAGGTCGCCTTCGTCAAGCGACGTCCATCAGCGAGGCGTCGTCCAATCGAGAGACGTCTTCAAAAACGGGGAGTAAAGACGTTTCTCCACAGTGAAGAATTGGTTTTAAAGAAGAAAAGAAAACTTGTTGATCTTGGCTTATCCTTTCTTTCCCTTTTCTTCTCTTGGGTGCATTAGCACATGTCCTTTTTGGCGTCCCCACCTTGGGGACGGTTGACTACTTCCTTCACCAGGAAAACTTTGTGCTTTCGGTAGGGATCATGTCCAGCGACTGACAAGAGTACCGCTGGTGCCCGTCCGTGTTTTGGGGTCGAAGATAGTAGCCCGCCCCATCTTCCTCTCCAAGTTTCGGCCCCAGAATCGTCATCGCATTTGCTTCAGGATCTTCACGGCTCTCCGTCTCTCCGTTCTTTGTTACTTTGTTACACCGAGCTCATCCATCCACCCCACCTTTGTCCCACCCAAGCTGCGTGCCTTGATGTAGCGCCGCGTGTGGGTACGCACCCAGCTCCGCGATCCCAACCGCGGCCGGGGCAGCTTGCGAAAGACCTCCAGGTGCCGCAGCTCGTTCCACCCATAGTCCCCTCAGTGCAGAGCCCGTGACTGGGAAAACAAGGGTCCAAGACCGGTCGCGGAGGCCAGCGCCAAAGGGTCAAAGGAAATTGAAAAGGAAGCGTTTCGTTGTACTTTCCAAGATCTTGTATTTGGTGCCTCCCCCTTCCCCAAAAGTTTAATGGCAACGCTTCTCAGCCCTTGACGGCGTGGGAGCTCTAAGGGCGAGCCCAGCGGCCCTTCCTGCAGAGCGCTTGTCTGGCATGCGGCATAGGCCACAATACCAATGAACTCTAGCCTCATGTAATTTCCTGCTCAATAGCTTCCCACCGGCCCAGGCCCGGAAGGTTTGCCCATCTTCATCCGCCCTTTGCGTCGCCTCTCCACCTGACCTCTGACAGTATTGAGAACCACACACAATCCTACTCCCATGCGAGCAAATGAATCTGGCTCCTCTTCGGCTTCCTCCTCATCGAGAAGCTCCTGAGTCAAGGATCAGGTTACCAACTACAGTTCTGGGAAGCAAAGGACTTGAGTAGCTTAGTATGACCACTTCGGTCTGCCAGTGGCATGCTGTCCGCATCCTTTCGATCCTCAAGCTTCTCCCCTCTAACGATGATTAGTCCCGCATCAATCACCAGGGACAGGATAGCAAAGGAGGCGCTTGACAACTTACCAACCTCTGCCGTGGCAAACAGCGTGATTAATCCTGACAGGAATCCAACAAACCTTCAGCCCACAACGAGTGCAAAACCATGGTCTCTTGCCCCCCAACCCACCCAAAACCATATGTTCCACTCCATCCATCCACCGCAGATCAAGTCCCAGCCACTCGGTGGTGATGATCGGTCAGTGCCTTCTGCCCCAGCAAGTCGGGGCCCCGAGCACCGCTGCGGCGCACCGCCGACGACGCGGAGCGTCCCGCGCCGTTCCACACGCCTTGCAGCGGGAAGGGCACCGAGGCACGTCCGTTGTAGGTCCACTGGTAGTCAAAACCTGAGAGCGGTTGGTGAGAGCGGTTTGGGGCCAAATGGGAAGAGCGGCACATCATAGGGTGTTATTCGACCACGATATATATATATATATCATCCATACACATCCACACCATCTATCTCTGATAGGCTAATAGGCTCCTTTTTGCAAAGCTTGACATGCTTTGACCATAGATGCCTCTCTTTAGCTTGCTACTGGTTGACAGCACACCAACTGATCCGCAGGCACGCCGAACACTCTCTTGAGCGATCAAATAATAAGCTTCTCCAGGATGGACGGATGACGATCCCGTTCCTCTTGGACAGCTGCGCAGCGGTGTTGGACCTTTCAGCCCTTTCCTAATCCCCAACACACGAACACCATTTCAGCCGCAGGCACCATATTGCTTGGTCTTCCTCAAGTCCTCCTCATGCTCGGCCTCATAGGCCTCCCCAATCTTCTCAATCAGCCAAAAGACCTCCAACGCGATCTCCTGAAAGCCAGGAGAATCGTCGCGAAGCGCTCCGCGATGGGAGATCCAAACCCCTCCACAGCCTTTGATTACTAGAAAGCGTTCTTGAGCATTGGTCGATGTCAAACACTCAAACAGCTGCTCTTCGGTGCCACAGCAAAAAACAACACAAACACCTTCTGATTCCCCGGCGAACACACCCAGCTGCACCGCGGCCCAGCGAATTTTGCTGGACCCTCTCAGCCCGTGAACTGGACTCCTCATTCTCGTCACACAAGCCCGTCAACAAATAGGGCGCGATGTATGGCTCCAAGTCCACCTCAAAACGCACAAACCAGAGCGTTTTAGGACATATGTGCCATAATCCAATCAAACTGGGGAAAATCGCCGGGCCCTAAAGAGTTCTTCGTTTGTTCTTGCACTTTTGGGCAAAAGCAAAACCAGCAGTTTTGCCGTCAGAACACAGGTACAACAATGAGAACCCCTCATCTCCGCCTCGGCCTTGGCCTTGGCCCGTCCTCCTTATCCGGCCTTGTCGACACATCGCAGCATCCAGTACGCCAGGGTTTCGAACCAGAAGCGCCGCACAGCTGGATGGCGGTCGAAGCTTAAGGTAGACATGTAGTTCACCTCAGGTAGACTCGACATGTGATGACATGTGGCTTCAACACCATCAACACCTTCTCCATTCCTCAAAATAACGAAAAACGGTCGTGAACCTTCCAGTAGCACATGCGATGACAACAGCCGAGCTCTTCTGAACCAATGGAGATGCAGTGAGCCTGCTGGACAATGAGACATGGAGACCCTCCAAATCCCAACTGCACAATGCCCAAGGACGAGTTTTGAGCAAGTAAGCACTTTCAGATTTCTGGTCCATCCATTCACGCAACTCACATGATTCACATGTCCTCCAAGCACAACACCGGCAAGGAAAGGATTGTCTGGACTTGTGTTGCCCAGTCACGTTGGTCACTCCCTCGTAAAACGCCTTGATCGGAACCTTGTTTGGATCCTGCCAAGCCATCAGAACCTTGGCAACCATGGAGTTGAGTCGGCCACCAAAATCGATAGCCATACTTGTGCTGAAAGTTGCTTAGGCAAGCTTGCCAAGGAGCCTGAAAGATCTCGAAGTTGTGCTTCCAGATCTCGGTTCAACACGGAAAAGACCATCAAACTCTGTTCTCAGTTTTGGATACAGTACTTTCCTGTCTCACATTAGACCATGAAAGACAGAAGCAATCAACAAGAAACGAAACTGAAGGACTGGAGGAATCAGCTTTACCGATCCCTTTCTGGTCATTCTCCGCGGCCCGAAGCGAAACCCGAATCGGCTCGGCCAGGGCACGCCACACCACAGGCACGCGGTCACCGCGCGGAGGCCCGCGATGCGGAGTTTGGCGTGGTTGTGGGTGAGGCAAGACCTAGGGAGAGAGAGCGAGTTGCTCACTCTAAAGTAACAGGTCGAATGAGGTACAAGCTGATTGGCAACGTTGATTGGGCCACCAAGATTCCAGTTACAGAAGCTGGCTCATCAGAGTACAGCAGGTCCGAGGGGCGTAAGGGATCTAGCCAGCGGCAAAGCAAAGTGCAAGAGCATCTCTGTGTGGTTGTAACCTAGATCGGCTGGATGTTCCATCCAACTTCGGCATTCCGAGCGATTCGAAAGCAAGCTGCGGCATTTGCGAGGTAGCGATATCACAAGAAGAAGGGAGCCATCCTTTGAGGAAGCTGATTCAGAGGCATGCCTCAAAGACAGGAGGGCTCAAAGCCATCCTCCAAAAGACCCAGCCGGGCAGCAGAAGGAGATCATGGTCTCACAGGCCAAGGCCTTCACTTCATGGAAGGGATCCATCGCTGCGGCACGGATCAGCCCGGTGGCCTCGCGGCGCCAAGCCACCGGCCAGCGTTGCTGGGCGACGGAGTCCCAAACACAGACGAAGCCATGAGTGCACAGCCCCAAAACAGGAAAGTGAATGAAAGTGAATCTTACAGGAGGACTCAAAGCATTGAAAAATGAAGGCACCCGGAAACGAGAACTTGATTTAGCAAGCAAAAATCACTACAAATCCCCCTTAGACCTCCAAATCAATTTTCGGGGGTCCCTCGAGCTTGCCTCATCGATGTAGGAGTAGATCTGCGTTGGGCTACATCGACTCAGCAACGAGGCGACAAAGTGCCCCAGCTGCAGTCGGACCTCCTCGCTGTCCTCGAGGAAAGCGCAGGGATAGCGGAGGCTTCTCTCAGAAACTTTCTGGCTCCTTTTCAGTGTGTTTCTGTGGGTCAGCTTGGGGAAGAAGTCCTCACGGTCGCGTCAGGTCGTGTTCAAGTACAGTCCTCCACAGGCTGCGCGATCTCCGTGGGCTTCTGTTCAGGATCCGGCCGCATGATCTCTGGGAGGTGCGCTACGCCATCCAAGTCCTGCAAAACGACCCCCGGTCCCCCCACGCCCTTCAAACGTGCTCGGCCGAGATAGGCGGCCGTTGGAAGATTGGTTCGGGAGTTGCAGTTGGAGGGCAAAGTGAATTAATATGTGTGTCCAAGTGTTTCTTCTAGATGTCGGTCATCTCAGCCGATCGGAGCAACCCTGTTTGTGTGGTTGACCTTGGTTAAGGCCAGCAGCCCAACTAGCATGGGGAAAGTCTACTCCCCCAGACCAGCTTCGGCAGACCAAGTTTGAAAAGGCCAAGGGATTCTGAGCTCACTATACCATAGGCTCGGTTGGATTTTCCAGGTTCGAAGGTGATTGCATTACACCGTTCAATAGACATGAATAGACTGGCAACTTTGGGCATCGAGGAGACATCAGACATCACATCCAAGATCCGAAACGCTTCATGCCATTGACCCAGAAACCCCAGGAACCGGCCGATGCTAGCGCCATGCCGGAACCTGCCCTTCCCGCCTCAGAGCCGAGCCGCGCCACCAAGGATGGGAAAATGTAAGGCCTCGGACAGCAACGACTCAGTAGACTCAGCGGATCCTTGTGCCTTTTCACAAATGAATGGAAGGTCCGCCCGAACGAAAAGGCTCCAAGTTAGCCAGCCCCAAGTGTTCTTTACCTCCCAGATGGTTGTCCCCCAAACCCTCTGGGAGCCCCAACAGTGCGGCAGCCAAATCTGAGGTGTTCTCCACGAGGCTCCCTTGGTCAGAGGATCACGGCTCTGTCTGGTGCAGAGGATCACGTCTGTTGACTGGTAGTTGACCGGTCTAAATTATGTAAACCTTTGCATCAGGGTACACCAGGGTATTGTACCACAGCTTTCACTGAACCCGTTGTATTCTTCTCACTTAGGCCACATCAAGCCACAGGCTAGATCTCGGATGGCCCCCTGGCCTATAGGACAACTTGAATCGATGACCTTTCTATATATGCCGGCTACCAAGTCTAGTTGGCCTATAAAAGAACTCCAACAAGTAACTACAATTTAATGGCACCTGAGAAATCATGGCAAATCCATCGTGTGTCCACGTCTCAATCCAAAACCTTCTCCCCATCTTCTTTCAGCATTCCAAGCAGCGCAAGATCTTCACGGCAGATTCCCGACACTTCTCACTCCGGTCCTCTGGCGGCAAACGATGCAGTGGAGGCGGCCGTAGCGACGATTTTGGAGCGGTCTGAAGGTGCACAATAAAGGCATCGAGGCATGTCGAGGCTTTGGATAGAAGACTGTTCGACATAAAAAGAAAGAAGATAGTATATAATATACTATATATTATACAATTATGATGTATACTATATATATTTGTTTATTTATATACACGAATATTAGTGCTCCCTTGATGAAGAATCCATCACTCTCTGGCCAGGGCGGATTCCTTCATTCTCTTGAGGAGGGGCTTGAGCAGTGCATCCACTACAGCATCAACAATGTCAGTGGCCAAGCTATCCTCAGCTGCCGTGCTGTGGAGGATGGGACACTCAGCGCTCTAGTTCGGGGCGTGGGAACCGAAGTTGGGTTAACCTGATAACCTAACAAATACCTTTGCCCCAGCAATGCCAATTGGTACTAAGTGGTGCCACTGCAAGCCTCCCAAGCTCTGCAAGTTCCCATTCACAAGCCAATGCCTCCATATGACTCCCATCAAATTGACCCAGGTGTCGATTTGCTTCACCAGCACTCGCTCCAACTTCTGCAGAGATTGAAGGCGAACCGACAAGTTCTCCTCAGACAAGCCTTGGGGACGCTCGATGAGCGTCGCGAGCTGGCCGAGGAGAGAAGAAAATGGTTCAAGGTTATATACATTCAGCCAGCCCGCAAAAAGAAATAGGACCAATTAATGGAGAGGTGATTGATCTTCCTGGAGAATCCCACTCAAAATCTGCCTCAAACTCCCTGAAGTGAAAATGCTCCCTCCAAGCAGCAGTTGATGTCCCGCTGTATGTAGGCCAAGAAAATCTCTGGGGTACCTGGAGCGGCACAAGCATCCGATCGCAGGTGGGACTGATTGACTCACCCTGCCTGGCCCTGCCTCAAAAATGGAACATGGGAAGGAGTTGTGAGTAGAAGTACAAAGACTCTTTGGACTTGGGTGACTTGGTTTTCCTCCCTTTTCCTACATACAATGTACCTTTTTCCCTTTCCCCAATCCAACATTCCTTCCATCCTCCCGAATCACCCCGGGCCCTCCGGCCAGTTGGAAGCTCTTCGAGCGCGTCCACCATGGTGGTGGGCGGTTCGACCACGGCCATCGCCGGGCCACCGAGGAAGGCCTCCACCTCCGGTGACGGATCGGCCACCGTTGACGGCTTTCGACGGTGACGACGGATGTTCCTCGGGGCGACGGCCTGGTGTTCGGTCGGCTTCAAAGTGGCAGACCAGCTGGACATCCAATTTAAGGAGGAGTCCATTCGCTTCGCTCCTCTCCTGAGAACGTCATCGTGGGGAGCACAACAGAGAGAGCATGGCAAGTGGCATTGCTGCTCCCGAAGCTACTTGTTTTCCGCAATCCTGAAATTCCGTGATGTGTCTACTATATGTATGTGTATATATATATATATTCACCCCAAAAATGAACTGCTGCCCATCCAGTTGGTCCCACCCCTCTCTCAGCTTGGCGACTTGGCTTTAGTCTTTTCCTTCTGCAAAAGGCTCAGGTCCTGTACCTTCGTCGCAAGAAACAGCTAACAAAGACCAACCTTTGGGCTTTCAACCCCCAGTGTTGAAAATATCCAAGGACTATCCTGGGATCAAACTATAGCTTCGTGCCATCATCTCGGTGGTCGGAGAAGGAACTTCAGATTAAATCCATTGTGGTGACTTGTCCAAAGGTTGAATGATCTGGCTATAGCTAGAGCAGCTAGAAACCAAAGGACCGCTAACTGTGCTGAGAGTGTGTGTGTGTGTATAATATATTATATGTATGTGCACATGCAGGAAAAACATAGCAGCTAGCAGAATCACCTGTCATTCCGGTCTGTGGCTCTCAACATGATCGATTATCACACAGTCATTCTTGAATTGGCCGCTCGGACAGCTGCCTTCGTCTTGCGAGGGTAGGTGGTACCTCCCTGCTCTCGCTGCATCTCCAGCCAAATCCTCGACGGGGGGTGCAGTCAACACACCGATTCGATCCGACACACCGATGCGAGGGAACAACAGACAGCGCAACAGGTCTTGAAGTTCCCAGCGCAACAGCGGTTGCACCTTTCGAAGGGTGTCTCGGAGTCTCGTCTCGTCTCTGCTCCAAAAGTGGGCCCTGTGCTCATGATTGGTGACCTTGCAACAGATGGATCTGCGAAACCCACCGGGACCGCCATGCAAAACCCACCGCGACCCGCGTTTGTTCCTTGAAGCTTTCCCTGGATTGGCAAATATACTTTCAGCTGAGCTCCTGAGCTCCTTCAGTGTTCGGCCACTTTGGACATAGCGTTGTTCTGACGTTCATACCCCACCAATGGCCGGTTTTCACCCATCCCCCAGTCGCAAAGGATCCCCAAAGTATAAGACTCAACGCACAAAGCCACAAGGGCAGAACCTGTAATGTAGACTCTTGATTAATAACCCCCCGATAAATCATTTGAATTGAAAATCCTCTTCTATCTCCCTCGTTTCGATGTCCGCCACTGAAGCCCCTGTTGGGCGGTCATGAAACGCCACCGTGGACACTCAAGGTCCACCGGCAGCAAAAGAAAGCACGTGAGACGACCGACAACCAAAAAGAGAGTCCATCAAAGAGAAAACTCCCAAGTTGAAAGATGTTTTGAGCAGCCTTGGTTGCATAAGCTAGCAAAGTCATGAAGTTCGTCAAGTGCAAATCGAGGGATTGCACCAACAATGGCCCCTTGTGGGAGGGCCTTTCCTTCAGTCTTGAGTCGAACGTTGTCCGTGAATCCAGGGAAGATACCATGGTCCGGTATCTTGTTGATGAATACAAGGGCTCTGCGAAGCCAAAACGTCAAGTCTCGAAACGTCTTGTCGCTTGCGGAACATGCATGGAGGATAAAACCTCTTTTCCAAAATAAAAAGGCAAATTCAACGTAGGACGTACAAAGATCATCTGAAACACGCCATTGTAGCGAAGTTGCGAAGTCAAAAAACGTGTTCAAGTCCACTGGATCAAGCTTGGACAACGACCCTCGTGGATGTTCAATCCGGAGGTCAGACGTCCAAGTAAACAAAGCAGGACTTTGGATCCAATCCCACCTGGGAAAACGTTTTCGAAGATCAATTGAAGCAGAAGATTCTGCCGAAGTATCATTGGCTGCTGTACACTCATGGTCAACTTCTAGCCCAATAGTACGATTCCATCGTGCAAGAAAAATCTGTCTTCGGAATACTTGCTTCTGTACCTCCTTGAAGTCTGCCGGGTGGACTGGAGCATGTAACAATGCAGTCTCCTTTGCTGCCTTGTCTGCAATACGGTTGAAGAAAATATCACGCCGAGTTGTATTGTGAGCGTGCGCGAACTGATCTGTAATGGATACATCGTCCAAATCATCAGCAACATGGGCTGGAATCCAAACAAGTTGAACCGGTTGAGGATGAGATTGCTGCCTCTGTTCAATAATTGACCAAATGGTTTGCCACCAAAAGGGATGGCACCAATCACCTTTACACCCGGAAAGTTGAAGGAGTTGCTGGAATTGATCAACAACTGTCCGGCAGTCAGTGTGCACAACAATGGGAGCATCTGACAGGATGATTGTTTTATAGATTGCAAACAATTCAGCAGAATATGAGGAGAGCTTCGGGGATTGTACAGGACCAGTGTCAACAATTTGGCCTGAGGCGTCAATAATACTGTATGCTGCGGAAGTCAGCCAATATGACTCAGCAAGAATTACTGAACCATCGGTCCAAAAATGCTTAGCATCAGCGTCGCCTAAGAAAGCTGGTGAAAAGTCCCCTCGTATTGAAGAGAACTGAAGACGATGTTTGGCGATTCCGACTGGGTGGTCAACCAATCCTAGTAATTGGAAGTTTGGTCCAAGCTCATGAAGCGGCGGTTGTTCATGGGGCAAGGAGCCAGAACAATCAGTCAAAAGATGTCGAAGGGACTCTGTTTCGGTGTTACAAAATCTACACAATTTGGATTCACAGAATCCGGCAGCCGCTCGTCGATCTCGTGTGATTGTACACCCAACACTTTGGGATTCGAAATGCGCAGTCAAATCAAGGGATTGGTCGAACGGCTTTGTATAGTTCTGTTGAAAGGACTTATACAAAGCAAGATCCAAGAAGCCTGTTGGTTTGGCAAGATCTTTCCGTGACTGATCAGCTGCACGTTCATAGCACCACTGTGCACACAAGTTCTGCAGAAGTGGCTTGATGTCATTAACTCCGATTTCCAGAATATGAAAACGGGAGGAGGCGAATACCAGAAAACCATCCTCTGACAGCTGAAAACGAAACAGTGCCAAAGCATCCTGGACACGTGCAAGAAGGCTATGCTTCGATAGAGCATGGTTTCGGAGCAAGTCACAACACTGCTGGACCCGGTCAGGATGTGAATGGATGAAGCGCCAAAACTCGATGATCGTGGAACATGCACGCGAGCACGTCGGTTCGACTCGGAAGGCCTTGGTTAACAGTGCAAACACAAGCATCTTGGAACGCCAATGCGGTCTTGAGCCCCAAAAGACTTGGGCAATCTCGCTTTGCATCTTTTCTAAAGCTCTTTTGGGAATCTTGGAAATATGTGATGCGAAAGAGATTTGGGGCAGGACTTTACACCCAATGAGAAGTTCTTTGGTTTTCCTTGCAACAGGGAGGTTGGCGATGTCAGCAACCACCTTGTATAATTTCTTTTGATCAAACAAGAAGTTCTCTCTATCGGAAGTGTAAATCTTGGCTCCAAGAACATCGAACTCGAGGAAAAGAGGCAAGGAAGGGAAGTGCAACTTAGCGAGTTTACGTGCATTGGCACTGGTTGCCCACAAGACGCTCTTGGAATGATTCAGCTTTTGGCCGACAACCGTTCCCCATTGCTCAGTGATTTGGAGTGCACGAACAAGGTCATCAACACTGTTGATGTGAACCCATAAATATGCATCGTCAATGAACACTCTGGATGTGACATGAGGAATGTGCTCAATGAAGGTGGCCCAGACATGCATATATACATTGATTGCAATGAGTGAGAAAGAACACCCTTGTGCAACCCCGTTTGCATTGGTGACACTATGTTTGGAGATCCAACCCCGGTAAGAAAGATTGAAAATCCTCTTCATATGGGGGGTGTGTTAATCAAGAGTCTACATTAGTACCTCTTCCATATCATCTTTGCATCATTCTCCCTTCTCCCGACACCTTCCACCCCTTCCACCTCTGTCTGGTTCCACCGTTCCACTTTCGATCCCAAGCTTCTCATCCACATCGGCCATGGCCGCGCAACGTTTCTCGCGGGCGCGCGGCCGTGGTGCCAGATCTCGGGGATTGGGTGCCTGCTGGTCTTTCAGGTCTTTCCAACGACCAATAGCGGCTGCGTCTCGTCCCCAAACAGAGGTGACCACAGTGAGACAGTCAGTGGCGGCCAAAACCTGGATCGGCTGAGGTTGCTCAGTCCGTTGGGAAGGGTGATTTCAGAAACTTCGAAAGTTAAAGGGTTAATGGTTGAGCTGACCTGATGTTCTCCATGATGCCCTTTTTGTTCAGCTTGAGCCAAGGGAAGCAATGGTAAACAAAGTTATTCTGCTTCACGCCCTTCCTGTATTTGCATACTGCATACCCACGAAACAGCACAAAAATTGAACCCTGGGTGGCCTGGGTGTGGTAGAAGAAATTGAAGAACTTGAATGTTGTTCAGCACCTGAAATTAAAATATTCTGCACTCTTTTGGACTTATGGCCACTCAATTTGCTGCTCTTTGGTGAAGAATTGCTCCCCTCAGATGATCTTGAGCTTGGTGAGGATCAGGTAAGAGCCGAAGGCGAAGGCGGTGAGGAATGTGGTCAGTCCAAAGTAGCCAATGATCATGAATGGCGTGAACTCTCCAGTCATGTTGTAGTTCAAGTATTCGTCCGCTGCAGATGCTGCCATTGGCATTGCCGCCACGGCGGCCACCACGGGAGCACCCCGAAGAGCAACAGAGTCAGTGGCCGGTGGCACGAAGGTAGAGCGGAGGCTCAAGACTCCCACCACAGCCAGCAGCAAAGCTGTCAGCAAGCTTGACCTACAGAAGTTCTTTATTGATCTTTTTGGGCTCGTCCCAAACGAGAGATGCAAAACATGTTGAAGTCCACATGCAAACAGAAAACAGACCATGGGCAGTCAAGCCTAGTATCCTCCATGATATCGCTTAAAGCTAAGAAAGAGGAATTCAACTTCCCAACCTGGTCCGAGAGGAGGCCATTGCGAGCAAAGTCACCGAGTTGCTTTGCCTGAAGGACTGGAGCCAAAAAAGACTCCAAGGCAGCCAAATGAATGAGCCACAAGGGAGTTGCTAACAAACAAGCCCCATCCAGAGCCAATCCCACTTGTGAATGTTTGCATAAATAGATTAGGCTCGTGTTGCTGTCAAGCAAATAAACTGCCTTTGGACCTCTTTGCAATTGCTCTCATGATTCATGATGACAAGCCTCCATCATTCCCTTTTGCTTCGTGTCACCACGGACACTCAACAGGGTGAAACCAAGGCATTTGTGCCAGAAAGTCCAACTGCAAAAAAATGTGCTTCACGGTCAAAAGCCAGGTCAAAATTTTCAGTTCTAAGCATTATGTTGCTTTGTTTCGCTATCTTCCAACCTCCTATCTACGGGCCGGGCTCAGCATGGCTCATCCGCAATACTCACAGCCTGACTCATCCACGAGCATGAGAATTCGTTGTTTTAGCCGTTTTGGGACCATGTATTCACGCATCCGTCTGAATTCTCGAGTCGTCCACACCTGACGACGTCTTGGTGCCCCGGTTGGTTGGAGAGATAGTGACCTCGCAGTGGTCAAAGTGCGCAACCAAGCTCACGGAGGCTGGTACCCAAGCTAAGAAATCTTGTTCGTAGTGAGGCTTGAGTCCAAGCTCTCAGCCACTTAGCCGCCAATATTGAGAACTGACTCAACCCTCCAAAGACCTCTTCCACGTGAGAATGTGTCTCACTGCACCATACAACACCACAAAAGCAGTCACCCAAGAAAGAAACCGAATCTTGGACTCCGGGCTGCACCTTTGTCAGAGGATGGTCCATCCGACCTGGGTGCTTCAAAGTCCGGCACTCCACCCGGAGCAAACCGGCATCCTGGAGCGGTATACCAGATTGGCCAGGTTTCCTGACGTTCTAACAAAAAGTTTCCGGTCCATCCCTACAATTCGCATGACCCCTTCAAACTCCCCTGGACCAACGCTTCAAACATGGTCGAACAGGCCTCCCCAAGGCAACTTGCTTGCAGTCAAGATGCTCATTTCTGTCCCTGGGCTCAAGAGGTGCCACAAAATCCAAGCAGCTTGACTCTGTACACTCCGCTACACTCCGTTAGGCCCACTCTGACGCGTGCACGAATAGAGATCGCAACCCTCAAGTCCAAATCTCTGAGCTTAGCGGCCCCTTGGGTGACTTCGCATAGACCTGGCTGTGACCAGCTCTGGGATCTCTGATAACCTTTGGTTCAAACCTTCTATGTAGTCATGTGGTGAAAGGCAGGCAGTGGTTAAAGGGAAAGTGAGAAGGGGAGCCTTTCAGTCGTGTAAGGCATGAAATCTCACCAAGGGGTGACAAGTCTACAAAGAGCGGCCTCTGTCTGCCTCACGGGATGTATGTATGTTACATTCATGTGTATAGATATGTTCCATATTAATATATATATATATTGCTCGCCCCCTTGCCCAAACATTGATTGCGATGGTGGCTGTCACAAACAAATCTAGACTAGACACAATTTATGTAGATCCATAGTATAACGATCCGCAAGTCTTCAAGACCCCTTTTGATCCCTTTGCAGCTTGAACCTGAAGCAATGGCCTAAAATCCACCTGTTGTTGGGCCCACATGAAGGCATTGGGTCCCTCTACCAACGCCTCCTGAAGAAGTTGGTCGAAGGCCTCTTTCACGTGGGCACCCGACACTGCGCTCGCCTGAGCCAGGTAGGGATGCTGATTGGATCCACCAAAGTGATCTCTCATAAAAAGACACAACTAAGGGTTGTCGCCATGGTTTGTCCTCTCCAGACTAAGGGTTTGTCCTCTACACCTGATGTTTTCCTTGACAACATCCAAATAGAAAGTCTCAAGCGGACACCTCATCAGCTTTAATTTATATACAGTAGGCCCACCGTTGCTCAGCAAATACTACCAGCATCTACATCTGTTGATTCATCTTAATCCTCCTGCACGTGTCATGCGCAGCCGCCTCCATAAATAGGAGACCTCAGAAAGGAACGGAAGTCGGGCGGGAGTTGGCCCTTTTGACACGGCTGCTTGAAAAGTTGTGGCACCACACTGGCACCCATCAATTTCAGGATCAACCGTTATACAGTAGTAGAGCTCACTAACATCACAAACACGGCCTGACCCCAATGCCCCTGCAAGAAATCTCACTTCAAAAATCCATTCCCGTCAAATGAGCTGTCAACCCAAGAGCTGTTGGGTCACCCCAGCGGTTCTGTCGTGCAAACTCTGCTGCAACATCATGGTAGACCTGGTTCCGGGTCCATGATCGTCCAACACCATTGAGGTGCCAGCCCACAACTCAGAAGCCCCAGGTGCCAAAACAGTTTGCTTAGAGAGACCTCAAGTCTAAATTTCATGAAAGGTTAGAGCCGGATTCGGAAACTAATCGGTCGGATTCTGAAACTAGGGTTCTGAAACTGGGTTCTGAAACCAGAGTTCTGAAACTTGGATTCTGAAACTGGTATTCTGAAACTGGGGTTCTGAAACTAGGACTCTGAAACTGGCGTTCTGAAACTAGGATTCTGAAACTGGGATTCTGAAATTTGTATTCTGAAACTGGAAAGTCAGATTCTGCAACTGGTATTCTGAAGCTGGAAAGTCAGATTCTGCAACTTGCCTTCTGAAACTTGCAGCTGGTGATCTCCACATCATGCGATAGCGTGTGTGCGTGTGACACCACCTTCGAAGCACATCCAAACCAACGTCATTAGCCCCCCACCCAACCCCCGCACCCCCCAACCCCCCCTTGTCCCCATCGTGTGATCTCGACATCCCTCATCATTCACAAAGTTGCGGGATCCTAGTGAGGGAGTCCACAATGTTGCGGAATCCTAGTTGCGGAACGCCAGTTGCGGAATCCCAGTTGCAGAATCCTAGTTGCGGAATCCTAGTTGCGGAATCTTGACAGTTGCGGAATCCTAGTTTCGGAATCCTAGTTGCGGAATCCTAGTTGCGGAATTCTAGTTGCGGAATCCTAGTTGCGGAATCCTAGTTTCGGAATCCCAGTTGCGGAATCCCAGTTGCGGAATCCGACCAAACAGTTGCAGAATCATCAGAATCCTAGTTGCGGAATCCTGTGCAGTTGCGGAACTCGACTTTATCCTTCATGAAATGTGTGGGCATTCACATTAATCATCTTCTCACAAACATGCGGCCCAGTAGCTTTGAAGCTTGGAGTCTCAAGCAACAGTGGCTGGGGTAGGGCTCTTCCATCCCATTCTAGCTCAAATACTGCCCAGACTCTAGCCCTTCCAAATGGGGATCCCGAGCACCCCCTCTGCACCTGCCGAGCGGAGGGATCCTGCTCCACGAGGTCGATCTGAACAGCGGCACGTGCCGCAGCGAGCAGGACACGTCGACCAGTTCGGTCTTCCACGTCTTCGCTTGGAATGCCATCCAAGGAAGCTAGTGCTGCGCCACTAGAGCTGCAGTCGACAACTCCGGCACGACCTTCTTTTGGGTTAAAAACCTTGCAAGTACAACAAAAGCCTGATAGCAATGGTCTCCAATTTATGTCCTCCAACCGAATAGCGATGGCCTCCAACCGAATAGCGATGGCCTCCAACACAAGCCTAAACACGGCCCAGCCCAAGTGACGCGTTGTCGCAAACTCGACCTTGTTGCCAACCAGGACAATGGTGGCATCCGGCGACGCGCCTGTGTCATCTAGGCGTTTCAATATGTCGGATCACAAACGAACTGGGTGTGTCTTCAAAAACACAAAAAAGGGAATCAGGAAAAGGTCAACACGTGTCAGGTGCCGATCCTCTCCTTCTCAGCCATGCCACTTGCTTGGATCCTTTATATAACTGGTATTGCCACATGCGGGAAGCAATGCGAGCCTTCTCGAACTTCGGACACCTGAACAGTTCAAAGTACAACGGAATTCAGACCTCAAACCTGCACGTCAATTCATTGATCTGTGTCTCCGGCACAGAAAGAATAGAAATTAGGCAACTTATACCTGGATCTTCCCAGTGACCTTTTGATCCCCTGGGAAGGTCCTGGTATAAGCAAGCACCTTGCACTTTCACGGTCTAGGGCACCAAACCCACATTGAAAGGCTCCGGAAGGTCTCCTGCCTCAACGAGCACATGCTAGCATGTGCTCGCAGGACCTTTGCGCCACTCTCTTTCGGCACTGAGGCTGCTGACCGTGTGACATCGTAAACCACCAAAGCCTCAGGGTCGGCAAACCGGGTGTATGAGCCCAGAACCCGTCCTCCAAAAAGCCCAAAGAGAAGGATTGATAGCCCCCAAACGATGCGACCTTGTCGGGAACAAACCCGAAGTGCTGATCTTGAACCTCTTGGAAAATCAGATCCAAGAAGGCGTAGCTCTCCTTTACATGGTTACGAATCTAAAGAATGATAGTCACAAAAACGTCGTGTAGTTAGCAATTGGGCGTCATTATGTTACGTTCGTACATGTTCGTTCCTGAGAATGACTCTGCTTGTGCTTTTCTGCTGAAACAAGCCAATGCGGAAGTGGAATCGAAGTGATTCAAACTTCCATATTGGTATTGGCAGTGACATCATGACGGTGTTCCCATTCTTACCTCTCTGACTTTTGATGCCCTAGAGACTCGACTAAGAGAAGCCACCCCATGACAATTACAGCCTTTGCAAGAAATGTGGAGATCTCATTATTGAATGCTTAAACGCAATCTCGGGTGGAACTAGTCCACGACCATTTGCTGGCAGCAGGTGCTTCAGGTCAAGTCACCCCAGCAGCACGGCGGTAGTGAGCACGCGTAATGGCTCGGTATCTCTCCTGCCCAGAATCATCCAGGTCTAGATCAAGCCAAACAAAGGGCAAACAGCTTTTGGTCCAGCCAAAAAAATGCTTTTCCATGCCTGCCCAGCGGTGTCCCAAATCTGCGCCTGCGGCTCGTGCAGCTTATGACGTGTGTGATTCCCAACTGTATGGGAGCTCCTGAATCCCGAAAAAATGCGAACCTTGGAATGACAAGTTCATACCCTTTCAACGTGACGAAAGTTCTGACACCGGAATGCTGGCAGGGAAAGTCCATCTTACATGAGTAGGCTCAAAAAGGTCTTCAAAGACAAGGTCACAAGTAGATCTCCCGGGCCATGGATCAAGGTCAGCCCGGCGAAAGAGGGTTGAGTCTCGAAAATAGCTTTGATCACCCCGAGACAGAGGTACCCTGAAGATTGACTGCAGGACCTTGCATTGTGTGTCTGCAGGTACCATGCCTTTACATTCACTCCTGAAGGCAAGCGAAGTGTCTTCCTCGGTGTGTTCAAATGGACAACATCATTCTAAATCAATGACTTCTTGGTGCTTTTTGTTTACAAACCCGAAGCTGATCATGGTACCCTTCAAGACAAGCGGAAACTGCAAAAAGATATGCAGATACCGTGCAGAATTTCCGCTGCTTTCAGGATTCGTCAGCAGATCTAACTCTTTGGACTGGGACCCACACGTGGCAAACTCGACCTGAAGGACATGCTTTGCGCAGTAGCCACTGGTCAGCCGAACGACAAGGGCACCCCAGCCCACTAGCGTGTTTGTTCATTTTTCGTATCCACCGGTGGCTGGCCTCAAAGCCCTTAGATGTTCCTGAACCTCATAGCAAGACCTGCTTACCAAAACTCGGACACCCAAATCGGAGTCAATTCTGAGCTTCTTGGAGGCTCACTAGGGTAGAGTTGTCAAAGTCCAAATTCCCGGATCTTTCCAGCTTATTTGGCTTGATCTACATGCGAACACTGGTCATTTGACCACCAGAACCTCCAGCTCTTCACCGAAACCGGTCTGGACACCGGGCTCCAATGGTCGCTGCAGGCGCCTGACGGTCGAGACGAGGTTGAAGAGCCCAGATTCTCAGGTCGTTTGCTTCCCAGCTTGGCATCTTTCTCTTTGACTACCCATTTGCACTTCAAAACTTTGAGCCCCTCTGACCTTGGGCAAGTCGTCCTGCATGGCGAACGGCTGATGAATTCACACAGTACACTGTCATAGCCTTCATTTGAAGGCATAGACAAATCGACGTCAAATAAATGCTAAGCTTAAGCTCATGTGAGCTACGGCCAAAACCCCGGACCTAGTCCAAACCCGATCCTGGACTGCCAAAATGTTATTTGACCGTTCAGAGCTTCAGTCCTTCATGTACCTCGACAGCAGGTGTGTCTTCCCCACAGACACATCGCCCACAAGGACGACCTGTGGTCCGAAGCCATCTGGACTGTCACTGTCAAGTGGTTAGTCAAGAACACCACTGAACGCTGCGCAATGACAACAAAAAGTGCTTCTCTGGCAGCATGACAAACGAAGAATGACCACAACAATCATAAAGCGAAATGCTTCAACTCTTCACAACCACTCCGTTCTTCATTTTGTTGTGAAACAGTCTTCCGCACGAAAATACAGAAGAGGGGCGAGTGGTCCCAACAACATCCAATGACCCCATGAAAACCTCCTGCATTTTGACCTTCTTCATCACATCCCCCTCTGTTTGATCGGAACAAATCACTTCATCGCTTCCGTTTGACCCCAGCAGTCGAGCCACCTAGGGACAACATGGACGAATCCTGAATTCATGAGTTCGTTCAATGGTGCTGAAACTTGAATTCCAACCACCCCTTTGTTAAATTCATTGTTTTTAGCCTCCCCCTGCTTCAAAGGATCGAACAGGGGCTGTGACATCAATCTCCGGCTGCGCTCGCTGCGCGCGCGAACGTTCCTTGCACAGATGATCGTAATCATCCTCGGTGGAGATCGCCTCAACATGGACCACGCGAACCAGTGACCAAAGAGTGGAAAGCAGGGCTAAGCAGGGTGGTAGATTCCCTCAGTTGACCCTGTTTTGGCAGTTCCCCAAACAAATGAGGACATCCACACATTCGATAGTACAGAATGAAACCCTCAAAGAAAGCAACAAAGCCATTGTGTCCAACAACCTGCAGTGATTTGGTGGCTCCGAGTGGCCATGACGTCTTCACTCCAGGCAATCACCACGAGAAACCAACGACCATGCTTTGCAAATAACTGAGAAGTGATGGAAAACAATCTGTGTTCCATGTTTGTTTGCCTGTCATTGGTACTAGTACGCACTGAGCTGAACAACTGAAATTGAAGCAATCATTCCGGCTGTATTTGGTTTTGACTATTCCCAGAAGTGGAAAAGAATGGGGGGCAGCTGACATGCCATGCTGTCCTTCGTCAAGGCACCAACGACAAATTGCCTTGTAAATGTTTAGAAATGTTCAGCATCTTGGGTTTCAAATGTCTTTCATGGTTGACCTAGTCATGGTTGAAAAGCTACAACTGTGTTGAAATGGGGGTGGTCTGTAGTTTTGATCTGTGCTTTGTGATGCTCGACTTGAAGCCTGCGCAAGGAAAAACTGATAGAGACAAATTGTTTGTCGCTGAGCGCCACAAGACATCGTGTTTAAAAAAGTTGTTTCAATGCTGCCTCGTTTTCATGTTGGCGGCTCCCCCTTGCAACTGATTCTGCATGCCTTTTTGAAAAACAACGTTGTCGTTTTCCTGACTTTACCTGCTGCTACCAATCCCTGGTATTCCTGTTGCAGTATTCAAGATTACATGTGGTGGCATTCCGGTTTGCACGACGCTCCGTTTTTGACGACGATTCACAATCCTTGGTTCAGGTTTCGGACGCAAGAGGTCGAACGCCTTTCTCACTCAAACCATGTCGCTTTTAAAATCCAAGCTGTCATTGCCAAAGAAGCTATCAACAAAAATGATTGAAACCAGTGAAGCGCCGGTGCGAGTCAAAGCGAAGCTACTGCACTGGGGGAAAAGGCTCATTCAGAGCCAACAAAAAACAAACCATGTCTACACACAAAAAACAAAAAACAAAACAGCAACAAACAACCCAAGCACAACCCAAAAAAGGATTAGTTCTATATCCGCCCGCGCCGCAAGCTGTCAAAAGCTGCAACAAAAAACAAAACCTACAGTAAAGTCAGGACGTCAAGCGCCATCCTCAAGAGAAGCAAAACCATACGCCCACAACGGCAAAAATGCCACCAAAACAAAGTTGTCCGTGTTTTCCCCAAGCAGTGGTTTTTGCGGTTGTGGTTACAGCGGACCGGTGTCTATCAAGGTGTTGCGCGGACGTGTGCGGCCCCTCGAAGCACTTCGACTCCGCAGGCTTGCAACATCTGCTTGGACGCTTGTCGCAACTGCGCTGTCGTTTGTGGTGCAGCGCGCGTTTTCGGACATGGTTGTCATTTTTCGTGGCAGGCGCAAGAGAAACTTCGTGCTTTGGCAGTACAAAGTCGACTTTTCGCAACAGGCGCAAGGGATCGGAGCATTTTATTTCCAAAAAATTTTTTGCACGAGTGGAGCCGCCGTACGTGCAGGAAATGCACGTCAGCTTGTGTTGTTTTTGTATGAATCTCCTGTAAAGTGAAAACAACGAGCACCACAGAACCAAAACAACCAAAACGCGCAAGAAACCCACCAGACAAAGAAAGAGAGGAGATTCATCTTGTACATGCAAGAGTGAGACCAACGGTGAGACAGTGACACTGCTCTGATGTGGTTGGGCAATGAATTATGGCAAAAGATTCGAAAGGCGCATCATGCTGGCTTTACAGTCAAATCCGAGGAAGGCAAAGGGGCTGTTGAGCAGGCCTGTGCAATGAGCACGTTTTAAAGGAGTGCTGTTGATGTCTGTCATGGTACTTGGATAGCCTGGCACAGTTGTAGGCTCCCCATTGGTCCACTGCGAAGCTGATGCACAAAGGTCAAGAGGAAGCACGAAAGTGTTGCAGGTGGCCGTGGAAAAAAGTAAAGCATTGTGCGGTTGACAAGGAATGGCAGGGATGACGGATTCTGTGTCGGCAGAGGTGATGCTGCCAGCAGGCTCCCTCCAGAACAAGGGAGGTTCAGCCATACGGCTGAGGTGTGCTCCATAACAGTTAAGCCTACAGGAGTCCGCTTCGCCCATGTGGCAAAGAGTGACGAGTCGCCAGGTGGCCGCTTCATCTTATTGTTGGTGCAAACTCTCGACAGTCAACTTGCCAAGATCGTGCAGTGCCCAGATGAAACTTGAACACGGTGTCGTCTGTACACTAAAAACACAGCTGGCAGGGTGGTGACCTACCCTCAGGACAAGGACTAAGGTCCTCGCCTGAGCTCCAGCCAATTGGGCACGCTATCTAGTTGCCTTTCGCGCAGCAGGTGTGTCGCAGGGATGATTTCGCAATTCAGATTGTCCAACTCCCTGTGATGGTAGACCAACTCTCGTTTCCTCTTCGCCTGGCAGCAACCAGTTTTTTACAGAACTGGGGAGGCCCTCCTCCGTGGCGAGGCCGGCTTTGCTAGTGTTTTTGGATCCCAAAATGAAGGCCGCAAATTCAACCGAAAATGCAATTTATCTTTGGACACAACAATGGCCAACCCAGGCCACGCCTTTGTTAAGAATGGTTGAGCACGAATACTTGGAATGCCTTGGCGGAAGCGCCGGGACTACAATGTTAAGGTTGCGTTTCGTGGGTTTCTGTTGGTCTTCGTGTTTTCTTGGAAGTTCTTCACTCCGACCCTCCAAGCGGCTGTTAAAATTCCGGTCTCGTCTTGCAGCTGGAGTGAAAGGAAACCTTAGTATTCATGCCAAAATCATTTACTTCAACGCTTTCTCCTCAAACCTTTTTTATTACATCCAAACGCATCGTTACTTTGCCCCACCACTCTTGAGGCCGCTCTACCGGGCGCTTGCCGACAAGCGCCACTGGTTTCCTCAACATAAGCTTTCGATGGCTCCGCCTTGGCCCTCTTTTGGATCCAACGGTTGTGCATGCTGTCTCCCTCTTTGGTTGCTTCCTGCGCCAAGGCCACTCCACACTTCCCCATAATGCTAGGAGCTCGGACGACTCACACACGCGACAGGAAAACCAATGTCAAAATTTCTGGAAACAAACCATTGAGCCCGGACGGATTGGAGCCCGTCAGAGGCGTGTGTTCAACGTGTCCCGGTCCTCCCTGCAAGGGGGGAGGGGACAAAAAACGAGAGTGTCGATCCCCGCACGAACTCCAAAACGGCTTGGCAACGGGAGTAATGCGAGAGACGCTCCCTGGACAGCGAAAACGTAGCATTCCTTTCAGAGATGCAGCAGTCAAGCGCATTGTGACATTTGCCCACCATGGCCAGGCAAGATCGGCGAACACGTGCATAGCCCCAAAAACTATGCGAAAATGGGTGAAACAGGGTGAAACGCCGTTTTCCTACATCTGCACACCTTGCCCATCCAGTGCCGCTACACGGGTAGCAGCCTGAGCACTGTCTGGCTAATCAGGCTAGCAGGTTTGGCGGGCAGGTCGGTGCGGCGCTCACAGGACCAACACACAGGTGCCAGCCTGAGAGGCTGGCTTTGAGGTGTTTGACAATGTGCTTGCTTAACCTGCCTGTTGATTCATGCGCTCACCAGCATGGGGCATTTTTTTGCACGAGTCTAGGCGCTGTGTGCGCAGGTTCTGCACAAGTCACCTTGTTCGAGTTAAGATGGAGTTGTGATACAGGTTGCTACCACTACTCGCTGTATGACTACAGGGGTCTTACCTACCTTGAACTCTAGGTCTACCATCCCTGCAGTGGGAAGAATATGATCCCCTGCACCTCTCAGGATTGGAGCTGAGCCTGGGTACCAATGCTTCACCTTGTAAAGCTTCAACCATTCCTCAGCAACAATGTGGCAAGTGGCACCTGAGTCTGCAAGCCAATGGGTCTTGAGATCCTTTCCCAAGCCCTGAGTACTCAACAAGTGCTCAAGAGGATGAGTGACGCTGTGCGCTACAGGCTCGCTTGTGGAGGCTCCCACCCCTTCAGTACTCTCAGTACTCTTCGCAAGAACCATCATTGCGACTTGGTCTTGGTCTTCATCGACCTCGGGGTCTTCACCTTCCTCTTCAGCTTCCCACTCTTCACCGTCCTCCAGTTCTCGAAGCTTGTTTCTCTTTCCTTTGCCCTTGCCCTTGTTTTTTTTGCGCGAGTGGAGGCGCTGTGTGTGCAGGTTTTGCACAAGTCACCTTAGTCGATTTGATCGAGTCACCAGCCAGGTTGCGAGGCAAAAAGGAAAAACACCCAAACAACAAAAACCACAAAACCACCCCCAAACAAACCCGAACACAAAACCGCAGGAGCAACCTGTAAAGTAACTCGTCAGGCCATGAAGGCATGAAGATAGGTGAAACAGGGGCGATGAATTCCAAAGTGCACTCAGTAGTTCTTGTCCATCAACGAACTGCAAAGAAGTTGCAGGAGCGTGTGCACCGTGAAGCATGCTGAGGCCAGGTAACACTCTCGCGGCAGTAGGCATCACTGTGCCGCCGTTGACACTTTGTAAGAAGATAGTCAGGCCAGGCTTTGCACCTTGGCATGGTAAGGTCTCTTCACGAAAGCATGATGCACCTTCAAGGGTGCACAAGAGTGCACCATACGGTTCAAAATTGGACACATCAAGTCAGATAGCTTGCTCGACGGCTGGCAGCAATGAAGGGGGAACCTGGTAGGTGACGATTGGGAAAACCACAGCCTTCAAACCCGGTATTTCCACAAAGCCGAGAATGAAGGACAGTGTGAGGTAACCACCTGGGTTCAAAAGAGAGTGTCAAGAGGCTTGCACCAAAGAGAGTGTCAAGAGGCTTGCACCTCCCGCACCTCCCCGAGAGGGGAGGTCACAAGCGAAGCACACCAAGCATACTCAGCTCACAAACAGCTCAGCGAAAGGAACTAACCTTTTCCTTTTCCCTTGCGGTGGAAAAGGCTTCTTCCCAGGGTCTGCTCCATCCTTTTTGGATGGTCGCTTGTCAGGATACTTCTCCCAACAATCTGAGGCCACATGGCCGCTCTTCCCCCAGTGTTTGCAGCGCTTTGGTTTGGGGCACTCTGACTGCATATGGCCAGGGTCTCCGCAGTTGAAACAACCCTTGCTTCGAATGGGAGAACCCTGGACAGCATGCGCCCT